TTTTCTGTTAGTATTCTATTTATTCATATACTTATATGTTCTTTGTAGCATTCTTTCCAATGAGTATCCTGTTTTATATAGGTATCCTTCTTCATTCTTTACATATACACTTATTCTTATATATTCTTGTTTATATTCTTATATGTTCTTTATCTCTGCTTATATTTTCCAAGTCAATGTTCTTTCTTTTCCTTTCCTTTCATATATTATAATCTCTTCCATATATTTTGTTCTAGTTATATTCTAAACCGTGGATTAACCTGGGAACCATGTCTTTCTTATTGCCACACTTATTAGACTAACAACGGTAGCCTGCCACCACCCAGACTTTTATTAAAATATAACATATCTTAGTTAACTGTTAGGTAGCGAGCTTCTAGGCACGTGAGTTAGTTATTTTCTGAGAACCAATGTGGGAAAGGATAGAGTGGTGATACTCGTAGACGTAAATTACTAATTCAATATTTATTAACACAGTGATTGGATAAGATGCATCTTAGATTCACTCAGACAAACAGAACTGCAATTTATTTATTAAGTCATCAAACACTTCAAGAACTTATTACCTCATTAAATACCTCCAAATACTTATTACTTCAATCGACAATTGTGGTATTGTCACTCTGCCAAATGATATTCAGTACTGGGTATACACCAGATATCACTGGACCCCCAGGTCTTACCTTACCAAGTAGCAAATTAACTCTTCACTTCTTGGTTATATCATTATACTCTCAGATTATCATTTCATGGCCACTACCAATGAATACATAGCACACTGGACAACTCCACAATTATCTCAGCATACAATACCTCCTGTTAATTCACAAGGAACGACATGGCACTTTTAACTCTCATTCAGTGGTTCAATACTTAACCTGGGATACTATATTTCTGCTAGTTATCCCCCAAACAAGATACAATAATACTTAGGCCCATGTAACTGTGAAGAGTGCCCCAGGGTAATGCTGGTCTCCCTACAACAATTAAAGAGCGCTGTTAGGGGTCGGTTGTAGACCAACACGCCAAGGGAGTTGGCGCCTGATTTGCAAGAAACGGACTTCCCAGTTTAATCCTGTCGAATTAACGGCATCGTCCAACCCGGTTACCAACCCAAGGTAGCCGATGAGTATTCAGCTCAACACACTGGAGAGAAGTTGAGGAAGTCACGAATGCGTAAATGTCTAACTTCAACTATACAAAACATACGTCTGGCTACGGTTCAGACGATATCTAAATCTCTACGTTACTCGACTTAATTGGCACAGAATTCACTGTTAACACATGAACACTGGGCAGTGCTTGTCAAAGGAGGCGTGTTCTTGCTTACAGGAAGTACACTTCAGCTTGCGAGCTTGAGTGTGAATGTTTACCTTTGTGCATGTTTGTGTATGACTGTATGTGTGCTTTATGTGTGAGTGCATGGGCGTGTTATGTATGTGAATGTGTGTGTGTGTGTGTGTGTGTGTGTGTGTGTGTGTGTGTGTGTGTGTGTGTGTGTGTGTGTGTTTGCCATTCTAACTCTTGTGCTATTTATCTGTCCTTCTTTATCATTCTTTAGTCTTTATCACTTGTCTGTTTGTCTGTTATAGGAGAAAAATGAAGGAGGCCACGAGGATGTTGAAAATTCCTCAAGGGGGAATGGAGTGAAAAAGGTTGAGAACCACTGGTCTAAACACTGGTCCGCAATATACAAAGTAGATCGTAAACTGTGTAGCAATTCTCTGGTTGGAATAGGGTACGAGTGGTGTTAAAAGTTTAAGTTACTCCTAAAATACAACCATTTTTTTTAAACTTAAATTATAACACTAAAGAAAATGTTAACGGGTAAACCAAACTAGTATTTTGAGCCCTTATAAACTCGGTTCCCCAGAGTTGCAAAAACAAAATAAGTATTTTGATAAGTGGTAAAACAGTGACGTTGTAATGGCGCGAATTCCTTTACTTCTTATTATTTCAGACGTAGCCCTTTTATTCTTCAATACTTGATATATATACTTATGTGGTATGAGGAATTCCAGAGACAACTATTTTGTGATTTAGGATATTATTGATATGGATATGTATTTTTCTAAGCCCCGAGGAGGAAAACATAAATATAGTTTGTGGGTTTGAAATGGAATTCGCGCCGGAGTGAAGCAGCCCAGCCCGGGGGGGAGAGACGCCATGGCGTTGTTTACATCCCGGGGCCCAGTAGCAGGTATGTCCCACGTATTTCTTTGCTCTGTTAGGGTGTGTTTGATAGATTGAGCATAATAAATGTTATATGAAGAATGTGATGATCTCGTGGAGGTAGTTTGTAAGCCAGAATAAGGCTAATTCTAGCGTTGCTCTCCAGACATTCACCCTGGAGTGAGTCTACACCACGGGTTTATTATGTATTGTTTAATTCCTACTACTGTGTGGTACCCATATGACAACAGTTGATGCTTGTTTTGTATGTATAATAACTAGTTATGTCTGATCTAGGTCCCAGCCTCTTCCTTCTCGGGTGATTTCTAGAGTAAATAATTGAGAGAAGACTACAAGTGTGTCCCATCCCTGAATTGGGAGTTCCCTGCTTTGTGCTTTGCTACACTTATTCGTATATATTCTTCCTTATAGTCTTATATAAGTAACTCGTATATTTCTCTGCTTATATTTTCCAAGTCAATGTTCTTCCTTTTCATTTTCTTTCATATATATTATATTCTCTTCCATATATTTTGTTCTAGTTATATTCTAAACCATGGATTAACTTGGGAACCATGTCTTTCTTATTGCCACACTTATTAGACTAACAACGGTAGCCTGCCACCACCCAGACTTTTATTAAAATATAACATATCTTAGTTAACTGTTAGGTAGCGAGCTTCTAGGCACGTGAGTTAGTTATTTTCTGAGAACCAATGTGTGAAAGGATAGAGTGGTGGTACTAGTAGATTACTAATTCAACATTTATTAACACAAGGAATGAACACTATGTTAATCAAGTACACTCACCCCTGACTGGACCACTCAAGTCCCACTTTATCATTCATAAACTAGGGCTTCAGTTACTTATTATATCATTAAACAACTTCAATTACTTATTATATCATTAAACAACTTCAATTACTTATTATATCATTAAACAACTTCAATTACTTATTACATCATTAAACAACTTCAATTACTTATTACATCATTAAACAACTTCAATTACTTATTACATCATTAAACAACTTCAATTACTTATTACATCATTAAACAATCATTATATTATGTCATTGTCACTACAGATGGCTGTATGACACACTTGACAATATCCCGAATTAAAATATTATTTATAACAACACGCTATTTCGAGATGCATAACATGGTATTTTTCCCTCCATTGATGTACTCGACTCACACCACATATGTACTGATACCATCAATAGTTATTGGATCACTACTCAACCTGTTATTTATCACCAATCACATACAACAACAATAATACTTAGACCCATATAACTGTAAGGAGTGCCCCAGGGTGTCGCTGGTTTCACCACAACAAATGAAAAACGCTGTTAAGGTCGGTTGGAGTCCAATACCACGCAAGGGAGTTCGGAGTGAATTCCTAAGATGCAACTCGCACAGTTTAATCCTACCAAATTAACGCCATCTTCCAATGCAGCCAGTTGGTATGCAGTTATCGGTCCCCGGTAGTTAGGATAGCTACTTATGTATTAGGATATTTAATATTAAGGTAATAAAATGGCGGAGAAGGTGTGGCTATTGGGAGAAGCTGGAGGTCACTTAAATAAAAAAAAAATAGTTAACGTATCATTAATTTGTTCAGTGACATTATTGCAGCTGTACCTTCAGATAGTGTCACCCTGTTTACCATACGTAGGGCCGTTCCGAGAAGCGCCCCCCCCCCCTCCAACCTCGACACTGGCTGAAGGTGAACCCGCCCATACCACACCTAGCTAACCACACCATACCTTGCTAACCACACCACACCTAGCTAGTCACACCACACCTGTAGCCAGTCACACCACATCTAACTAGCCACCCAACACCTAGTTAAACAGTCACACCATACCTAGCAAGCCACACCACACCTTACCTAGCCACACCACACCTTACCGAACCACACCACACCTAGCCACATCACATCAAGCCACGACCCTCTTACTGATATTTAAAATAACCGTCGACTTCCACATAGGTTAGATTAGGTTAGGTTAGGTTAGGTTAGGTTAGGTTAGGTTAGGTTAGGTTAGGTTAGGTTAGGTTAGGTTAGGTTTTCATTCATAGCTGGGAGGAGTCGGCGCAAAACAGGAACCCTTAGTTCAGGAAGCAAACACTAGTAACCACTCCCCCACGCCACCCTCACATTAGAACGTAATTTCATTTATTACACCAAGATGCCCATAATATGACGCAGGCGTTTAAACTTAAAATATATTAAATAAGTAACAATTGTAACTTTTATGTCTGTAACGGATTAATGAACACGAGGTGACTATGTGGTAGAGTTAACGATGGTGGTGAGGTTATTGTAAGCGATTGTAGGGTGTTTGGGCCAGGGTAGTTAGGACCTTATTTAACCTAACCTAACCTTCATTACACACACACACTCACTGACCTTCATTACTCACAGGGAGGTCGGAGCTAATATGGACGAATCGTGTTACTATGATTGACCACTAACATTACGCACATAAACACACACACACACACACACACACACACACACTTACGATTAACGTTAACTAGTGTCAATTACGGTGACATGATTTGTGGCATTAACTCTCAACGCCACTACTACCCTCACCATCACCACCCTCACCACCACCACCCTATCCCAGTACCCACGTTCACAGCCTTCTATCTCGCCGTTCCATTGTCCTTTCCATTCACCATTCCATCGACCCTCCCGACCCCCTCTAATCTCCCTCCACCCCTCTCTCTGTGGAGGCCATGGCAGGTCCCCCTGGCCCCAGTAGTAGACCCAGTCAGTCAGGCAGGCAGGCAGGCAGCGGGCCAGGCCAACAGTTCAGACTCAGTGTCTCCCCCCTCTGTGGACGTGTCGGGTGGTAGTAGTGGCTGCCTGTGAGTGACTGGTTGGTGTGACCTGCTTCTCTCTCTCTCACTCACCCAACCTGTTGAGCTTAGTCGTGGCTGAACCCCAGTGGTGTCTGTTAGCCTCGTTGATGCTGTGGCCAGGCTGGCGCTGTGGCCTCGCTGATGCTGTGGCCAGGCGGGTGCTGTGGCGTTGCCGGGATTCTGTGGCCATGCCGATTCTTAGGGCCATAGTGAAGTTGCAGTGAACATGTAAGGCCCAGCAGAAGTACGTGTGTTTGTCATGGTGTGCATGAGTACAGGGTCGTGTATGTCATGAAAGAACAGTCATTTACACCTTCACTCGTCCAGGCTGGTGCGCAATGTTTCGGAACCGATACAAAAAGTTGAATGTGAAACAATTACATTCCTTTAAATTTTAGATACAACTTAATATCGACAGTATCTAATTTATCGCCAACCAGATTGATGTCACCGTGTGTATGTGTGTGTTTGGGCAATGAGGTGTAGTTATGAGAGCAGGGGTTATATTGAAGGAGAAAGTGGGTAACTCTAGTTGTGTTGTAGTGCTGACGAGTCAAGCCAAGCAAGCAGCTGCGGCGTTGACAAGATACATTAAAACTACGAATGGCAGGATTTCATTGCTACTGGTTTTCTCTCTCCCTTCTTCATCGCCTCTGCTCGTCCGTAAGACGTAAATATCCGGTATAGTATTGAATGTCTGATATAATTATTCCATAGAGTGTGACACAAACTAACTCTACTAAGTGTTAAGGGGCGGAGCTGAGGTACACGTGTTGAGGGAGGAGGAGGGGCGTCGGGAAGCTGCCGCCTACAACAGATACACTTTAGCGACAACTGCACCGGCGGGATACACACTTGATCACATCTACTGGCCGAATAGAGAACTGTACGTAAAATAAAGTATAGTATAGGGTAACGGCTTGTAGTCAGCATTAAGTAATATATACACCTAGACAGAGACGCTGAGGAATGTAGCACTCTCTCGGCTTGTAACACATTAACTAAATATCTCCACACCACATCTCTCGTCCCTCCCGGAGCATACAAGTACCTGCCGACCAGGACCTGGGTGTGAGGGCAGGCAGGCCATCAAACCCCTCACCAGCTGCTGACACACCCATAAAGTGGTCCAGTGGAGGGAAGGGAACCATGGAACGTTGGGGAACGGGAAGAGGTGGTGGGGCGGAGGGGTTTTATGAATCGCCTCCCTTCCTCTACGCAACACACACACCCGTCGACCTTCCAGCGACCAGTATGACTAGAGGCGTACTAAAGCAGTTGTGGCAGGCGAGGAACCACCGTGTACCTGGAACTTACTAAGGGAGAAAGAGGGTTACGTGTTTTTAGAGGAGTAAGGAAGCTCTTAAGAGAAGGGGCGTTGGCAGGAAGACTTTAGTTGTCCCGTTTACCTGGAACAAGGAGGTGTGTAAAGATCATTCGTGTGCTGGTGAAAAAAAAAATCTTATCATTTCGCTTTGCTGGCTGTGGGTGTTCGGCCTGCGGTGGGGTAGATGTTCGCTGGGTTGGAAGGAAAGTTCTCCGCTTGGGGTAAGGGAGAGTGTGGTATTTTGCGATGCTTACCTCGTCGACGGTAGACTATTGTAGAGTGACAATGTGGTCGTCTGCAGGAAGGAGGAGGAGGGGGTAGTGGGGAGACAGTAAATAGATTCTCATCAATTTATACTGTACAGCATTCACACCATCAGTCCTCTTCATGACCATCACCCCACTTCCCTACCACCCCACTTCCCCATCACCCCACTTCCCTACCACCCCACTTCCCTACCACCCCACTTCACCACCACCACCACCACCACCACCCCATTTCACTACATTAATCTAAAACTTCTTCAGCTCTTTAGGGAAGGTGTACGTACAGTACATAGGGATTCCATACACTTCACTCACCCCCCACCATCTCCCCTCCCCTCCACCCCCTTCTTCCCCACAGCCCGTTAAACATAATATCCCAAGAAATACTATTAAACCCAGGAATTCAATTTGTTCAGTCAAGCAGCTTATTATACCCAGTGACTTTGCCGCTCAGACACTCAACATGTAACACACACCATCAGAGATGATGCAATGTTTACAACCTACCACAGTCTACCTGCAGGTGATGGCGGGTTGTGACTCCTGGAGGACACAGCTTCAGATGTTTCTCAAGAAGTATAGTATAAAATAATGGTTTAAAATACTTCCCTACGTTATCAGTTACCAAACAGGGAGGTACTACCGCCTGGGATGATATTGGAAGCATAATGTGTTGTCTAATGGTAGACCCTGCTGCTATATGGCATCACAAAAGTTGTGACCAAGTCTGCCTCATTTACACACAATTGCAGGGTCTCAATTGTTTCTCTTAACATTGACAACACAACATACACACAGTATATTGTTTCTCACTCGTGATATTTTATTTTATTTATGGCTCATTATTATTATTATTATTATTATTATTATTATTATTATTATTATTATTATTATTATTATTATTATTATTATTATTATTATTATTACTTTTATTATCATCATCATCATTATTATTATTATTATTATTATTATTATTATTATTATTATTATTATTATTATATTTTTTCGCCCCCCAAGCCTTGATGTGAGTAATAAAAAATGACCTGTTCATAAGTAAACTGCATATTAATCCAGACTGTTGTGTTATGACAAGATCGTTCCCGGATGAAAAAATTATCTTAAGATGATCACTCTTGGCTGGTAGTAATATTGTGTAGCTTGAGTATATGTAGTGTAGCCATATGTGTAGCTTGAGTACGTGTAGTGATATGTATAGTGATGTTGTGTAGCCAGGTAATGAGGGTTAATTACCTTGCTACCTGTCGCGTTAATATACTGAACACCTTGGCTATACCTTACCTTCGGGATGACATCTCTGTTTAGCGCGCTCTTGGGGGGGTCGATTTAAAGTGTTAGTGTGGCTTTGGCCTTTGATGTATTAGGTTACATTATGTTTTGTTGTATATCAAGGCGTCTCCACACACACACACCAGCAGGTCACCACGCCACTCAATTCACTATAAATATGTCAGGGAGCCTCAAAGCACTTCTCTCGCCCCTCACCTCTCCCTCCCTCACCCCTCCCTCCCTCACCCCTCCCTCACCCTCCCTCTCCCTCCCTCACCCCTCCCTCCCCCTCATCTCTCCCCCACCCCTCACCCTCATCTCACCTCCCTCACCCCTCCCTCACCCTCCCTCACCCCTCCCTCACCCCTCATCTCTCCCTTTCTAATGTCTCATATTTTTGTCCCATATATGAGTTATAAATCACCATAGACCAACGTGTTTTGATGAATCTTCAATCTGGGTCACTAGAAGTCTGTGGTGTTGACAATGTATGCATGTATGTATGTATGTATGCATGTATGTGTGTGCGTGTGTGTCTGTGTGTGTGTGTGTATTAATTATATTCTCTCTCTCTCTCTCTCTCTCTCTCTCTCTCTCTCTCTCTCTCTCTCTCTCTGGTGATGAATGAGTGTCTGTGGGCAATTGTTTTATCGTCAAGGATTTTAAGATGAAGTTATCAGGAAGTTTATTCATTCTTTTTCACCAAATCTCCCGTCTATAAATTCAAGGTCGACTCTCAATCATCTAGTGAGGTCGACTACTTCCTCAAGGGTGATTGTGTCGAAATGATCGAGTTTGTGAATGAGGTCGATTACTGGGTTAAATTCTCCACCAGGTGTTAAATTGATTGATTATACCTGAGGGAAATGTTTTATTGTATGTGTGTGTGTGTGTGTGTGTGTGGGTTATTTGTTGTGTACATACATACATACATGTTATTGGGAAAACTTTGATGTCTCCATGTTATACAAGATTAACCTGATAGAGATCTGTGGTGGTTGTGGTAATTAAACCAACTTGGCTTCTGCCATCTTCCCTGTGCTCTTACCTGTAGACTTACCTGTGGTCTTACCTGTGGTCTTACCTGTGCTCTTACCTGTGGTCTTACCTGTGGTCTTACCTGTAGACTCACCTGTGCTCTTACCTGTGCTCTTATCTGTGCTCTTACCTGTAGACTCACCTGTAGACTTACCTGTGGTCTTATCTGTGCTCTTACCTGTAGACTCACCTGTAGACTTAGCTGTGGTCTTACCTGTGCTCTTACCTGTGGTCTTACCTGTGCTCTTACCTGTAGACTCACCTGTAGACTTACCTGTGGAAGATAATGACCTCAGTTTGTTGTACCGTATCAGTGAAGGATCTCAGGTGATAACGATATACAGGTGTGGAGAGAGAGAGAGAGAGAGAGAGAGAGAGAGAGAGAGAGAGAGAGAACGTTCCCGGTAGGACCTAAGTGTGTGTGCATTGCTCTCATACTCCTCTTACTCTAGTGTGTGTGTGTGTGTGTGTGTGTGTGTGTGTGTGTGTGTGTGTGTTAGCGTTATACGGACACAGGTGGTAACGAAGTACTTGTTAACGAAGACTTAATGAGCGAAAATGCAGCTTGACCTTATCACACCTGTACCGCCTTACCTCCGGTCACTGTTAATGAGGACACGATACCCTCATCTCACCTGTGTACTCCATTTAACGGACTGTATGCAGAGGAAAGTCCGTTATATCGAGTTCGTTTGATGTGAAACCTCCATTTAGCGAACTATAAAAGTCCGTTAGGTTAGGTTAGGTTAGGTTAGGTTAGGTTAGGTTAGGTTAGGTTAGGTTAGGTTAGTCTTACTGTGTAGCCAAGATAAAGGGAGAGACAGGGACTAATAGTCTTAGGGAGACGTATCAGTAGGTTTAAAAGTTGGCACCATACTATTTTTAGGTGTGTGTGTGTGCGCGTGTGTGTTGTAATGGGGAGGCTCAAATAGCATTAGTTAAGAGGAATGTTTCTTTATATATACCCAGGAAATCTGTTGGTATTCTAGTGAAGGGGAAGGTTAGGGGTGACAGTGTAAAGGAGATTGTTCAGTACAAGGCAGAGTTCTATCTTTATTGCTTAACTCATCTACTTAATAAATAATCCACGTTGTAGATCACGTACATATGAACCTCTTGTACGTACAGGTAGAGTCTCCTTGAGTGTACGCCAAGACCTTGAGTGTACAAGAAGCTCTCAACACAGGTCCTACCGCTGGGGGAACTGATAAGATCTCTCAGCTTGGCAGTCATCATCTCATCCTCGTGCTGGAATATAAGATGTTTATATACCACCACCCTAGCTCTGGGGGGGTGGGGGTAGGGGTCAGGTCGGGGAGGGTGGGG